CTCAGAGGCGCTGTGGCAGGTGGCTTCATCATCTCGTCTTGGTCTCCCTATCCCCCAGTTAGCCCTTACAGGTCAGTGCTCTTGCGGACAGGCGATCGACGACATGACGGTGCCTCATCACGCGGTCCGGTGCCCACGTTTCGGCGTCGCCACGACCATCCACGACACGGTGAAGTTCATGCTCCGAGACTTCGCGGTCGAGGCGGGTTTCGCGGTGAAGGTGGAGGACTCTACGCTGTTCACACAGTTGGAGGAGGCTCGAGCGAGGCTGTAGGGACTGCCAGTGGTGGGAGAGGGGACACGGGCAGGAGGACCGCTGGAGCAGAGGGACGAGGCGCGACTGCCGGGTGGCGACGGGCAGTGGGGACAGCATCAGCTGCGGGGGCGGGTGGCGCGAGGGGCAGGTGGGCTGAGGGGATGGCAGGGGGAGCAGACTGGCTAGGGCGAGGAGGGGGAGAGGCGGAGACAGCGGCAGGAGAGCCAGCGGAGGCCGCAGGCCCAGGGCGCAGCGCCTTCGGGTTTGGGCCCGGGGGTGGGTCAGGAGCGGGAGCAGCAAAGAGCGGACGGAGGTGCAGGGGGGGCAGCGGGATCGGGAGGGGAGGACCAGGGAGTGAGAGAGGCAGCAGGGGATCGAGTAGAGGGGTTGGGAGGGTTGGGGGAGGGTAGAGAGGGGGAGGGAAGAGGACAGGCGGGCGGAGGAGAGGGCAGGGGGAGAGAGACGACCGGAGAGGAGGCACCGAGGGACCAGACAGGGCAGCAGCCCGCGCAGCAGCAGGGACCAGTCGGACGCACAGGCCGCGTAGGCACCCCTTCCCGCATCCCAGACCTCACCTGCCGCGACGTTGGGCAGAGTTTGATGGTCCTTGTAGATGTTTCCATAGCGGATCCACAGCGGGAGGGGAACGTGCAGCTGAGACGGGCGACCCCCACACAGATTGGAGTGGCAGCAGCTAGGCGGGTGCAGGAGAAGCTGCGTCACTGGGGGCCGCACTTAGAGGGGTTGCAGCCGGCACCACACTTTTACGCGTGCGTGGTTGAGACCTTTGGCCTTCTCAGCGAGCCGCTGCGTCAGTTTCTGGGGCTCTGCGCAAAGCGGATAGCACAGCGGAGGAGGGATAGGGGAGGGGGGGATGACGGATCGGCACGGATATTTGAGGCAGGACTCACTACACGCCTCTCCGTGGCGCTGCAGCGCGCGCAGGCTCAATGTATCATCCAGCATGCGGTGCGGCAGGCGGGGGGATCCGACGACGGGTGGATGCCTGCACCTGTCCCACTGGGTGCGGGGCAGGGTACCTGGCACCATATCACAGGGTGCTTCGAGAGTGCTGCAGACATGCAATATATATATGATGCGTATGTGTAGAAAACAATAGTGGCTGTGCTTGAAACACTGTGCCCGCGCTGTCGTGCGGGTTGCTGCCGTGTTTGGTCCCTAGGTGTTTCCTCCTCCTTAGTCTCTTTCCCTCTCCTCTCTTCTCTTCCCACCTCCCTCACTCTTTCCCTTCTTCTATCCTCCTCTTCTCTTCCCACCACTCTCTTCTATCTCCTACTACTTTTTCTTACCCCTTGATCTTTTCTTTCTCTTTTTTCTTCCCCCTCTTCCCTACTAATATATATTTACCGTCCTCATAGGGAAATGGTCATGCCGAAATTTCCTAGTTTTGGAAAAACCATTATATTCGGCTTGTATATGCTTTTCCCCTATTAATGAATAACTGCTCTCGCCCACCGGCGCTTAGCTTCGGAGTTCTGATGGGATCCGGCGTAGTAGCCGAGGTATGATCGTACCACGTCCGTCCCGTGCCCCGACCGGTACACACCCCTTGCCCGGGTCCCCCTTCATAGTCACACCCCCTGCCCCCTCGTGCCATCCGCTCCCCCCGCCCCTACCCTCCGTGTGCCCGCTCCCTCGCTGCCTCTTTTGACCCTCCCTGCCCCCCCTTGCCGTTTCCCACCGCCCGCCGCTCGTCCCTCCCCGCCCGTGCCCTCCCCTCGTTTACCTTCTCCTCCCCCCTCCCCCACTCTGCCGCACGCTTCTTCCTTCCACTCGTTAAGCTACTCCACTCCCTGCCTCTCCCCAATCCGCACCCCACCCCTCGTTTCTGGCCCCTCTGCGCTCGGTGTCTCCCCTCCCTGCACCTCGCTGCTTTTCTCCGCTCCCCTCCTCCCCCCTCTCCCTGCACCTCCACTCTCCCCCCCTTGCCCTTGGCTTTCCACCTCCCTGCCCCACGTTTCCCCCTCTGTGTGCTCAGCTTCCCCCTCCCTGCCTCTCCCTCCTCTCCGCCCTGCCCCTCGTTTTCCACCCCCCCACGCCCGTTTTCCCCTCTCCCTGCACCTCCCTTGCTTTCTCCGTGCCTCACCTCCGTTCCCTCCTTGCCCCTGGCTGCTCGTGCCCCTGTCCTTGGTTTCTCCCCTCCCTGCCCCGCGTTACTTCCCTCCCTGTGCTTACCTTGTACCCCCTCTGCCCCTCCTTTGCTTTGCCCGCACCCATCGCTTCTCCCCTCCCTGCCCTTGATTTCCCGCACCTCTGCCCTTGTTCCCTACCATCCATGCCCCTCGGTTCTCCGCATTGTACGTTCAGCCTCTTCCCTCCCTTCCCCTCCCCTCCTCCCCCCATGCCCTTTGCTTTCCCCTTGCTACGCCCCCCTTCTCCCCCTCCTTGCTGCCCCCTTACTACCATTAGCCCTTCAAAACCCCAAGCCCCCTCTCGTTCCTACCCTCTCTCTCTCCCTCTCTCTCTCTCTCTCTCTCTCTCTCTCTCTCTCTCTCTTCTCCCCGCACCCCCCCTACCCACATCCTCCCGTTCTGCCCCTTCCCTACCCCTGTTCCACCCCCCTGCAAGCCCCTCACCTCCCACCTTGATGCAACTGGTTTCCTCCCTCTGGTGCCTCCCTTGCACCGCTCGCCCCTCTGCTCACCCTCTGCCCGCCCTTTTTCCTTGCCCTCAGCTGGCCCAACCCCTGCCCGTTGCTGCCCATCCCCTTGCCTTCTCAACTCTCTGGCCCCCCGTACACCCCAGTCCCATCCAACCGCCCCCACCCTCCCTCGGCTGCCCGTTTCCGCTCTCCACCCCCGCGACCGCGTGCGGCTTCCAACCGCCCAACGGTCGTGTGCACGGGGCGTTTCTTCGCGCGGGCAAGCCTCTCTTGCGCCCCCCCACCCCGCTGAGCCGTCATTCGGGCAAAAAAACGAGGTTGGAAAAATGCGACGCGCTAAAATCGTCCTTTCTTTTTCCCGCTTGCCCCTCCCCGGCACGTGCCGAGCAAGGGGCATAAATGGGTACAACACGAGGACTTCCCGGGAGGTCACACAGCCAAGTACTGCTCTCGCCCACCGGCGTTCTTACCTTGACCTAGCTCTTACCTACCTAAGCTAGCCTCCTAAGGAGGCTCCTAAGCCTACTATTTCGAGTTGGTTAATGACAAGGCGATTGTGTTAGTCGTTTCTATTACTAATATAAGGAGTTTTAACGGTTGAGTTTTTATTTCCCGACGGTCGAGTTCGACGGGACGGGGGTTGCGAGTTTCGCGCGCGACCCTCTAGACCCTCGGAAACGGTCCTCGCTCGGTGAGACAGTACCGTTTTCCCGACCCCGCCATCGTGGGGAGGCTGCGGGCGCGCTGCAACGGGCGTAACGGGCGAAGCGGAGCGAGGCGGTTCCGCGGTTACAGCACCCGGGGACCAGCTCGACATTGCACCCGCCAGTAACGCTACTCGCGCCCTACCCTTTCCCCCCCTTCTAACCCTTCCCATTTCCCTTTCTCTCGACATTCGACGTTAGAGGCTTAGCTTAGAACTATAGAATAGGCCGATTTCCCAGCAGATAGTGGCGCGCGACTCGGCTATTTTTGCGGCGCACCGCTTAACGCATCGATTCCTTTCCTCCACTAGCACGCAACAGTCGACCGTCGCGAAGGGAAACGCGGGAGGCCGCGAGATCGTCGTTTTTTCTAGCGGCGGTTACGCAGGCGCCCCTTTCCCCCGCCGCGGTCGACTTGATTTCATTGGCGCACCGGCGTTTTTAGGACACAGGCGCGTCGACGCCTTGTTACCACCGTTTCTATCACTGCCTCTAACCCTAATTCCATCGTTTTTGTCATTTATCATGCAATTAGGTTTTCGTTTCGTCTCCACACCACACTGTTGCCACCTCCATTGCACACGTGACCTTTGACGGTCGAATAGGGACAGGAACGCAAGGGCGTTGCCGTCCGCACGGACACGCGGAACAATAGCCGTGCCGTGGCCTTATCCAAGATGCTAGCAAGGCCCGCATAGCCGTCGCCAGCGTAGTCCGCTGCCAGCACGCCCCGCTCACAGTGCTGCGCGCCGCTAGCACTGCCCGCCGCCGCTAACCCAGCCTACATAGCCGCCGCCAGCAGTCACGCCCCCGCCGCTAGCAGTTACATAACCCCGCTAGCAGTCACATACACGCCGCTAGTAGTCGCATACCTGCCGCTAGTAGATATGCACACGCCGCTAGCAGTCACGTACCCGCGGATAGCACTGCCGACATAAAGACAAGAAGGCCAAAAGGAGAAAGAAAGAAAGAACAAGAACAGGTTTCAGGACGTGCTATTGCCCCCACTGCCCCGCCCCTCGTCCCCCCCACCCACCCTCCCTAACCCCAGCTACATGTTCCCCTACTTCCCTCCCTGCAGCGTACCCCCTCTCTCTCCCCACCTGTCTCCCTTCAGCAGCCCACCCCCACTCGGCCCACCACCTCTCTACGAGCCGGGCTCACCCTCCCAGCCGCCATTTCCCCCTCATCTGTATCCAGCGTGGACATCACCCCAGCATTCCTTTCCCCCTGTCCCCCCGGCGATCCACCTGTCCCACCCCGGCACTAGACAGCCTTCCCCATCCGCAGCCACCCTCTACTCCCCGTGTTCCTGCCCCCTGTGCCTTCCCGCCCTCTTCCCCAACCCACCCCAGACCCCCCCTTTCCTCATATCCTCCACCTTCACTCCCCCCTGGGGGCCGCCCCTCCGCTATTATCACCTATCGCCGTGTCCCCCGTCCCCTCCGTCCCCTGTGTTTCAGCCCCCCATTTACTTCTCCATTCACCACAGTCCCTCCTTTCGGTGCCCTCTCTGCCCTCCAACGTTCACACCTCCCGCCCCGGGGCCTCTCCTTTACCCACTGCCAGGCTCACACCAGCTTGACCACCCGTTCCCTCGTCAACAGCTATTCGCCCCTTGCCCTCTGCCCTTTGCCCCTCCTCCTTGGCCCTCCTCCTTTCCCTTACCCCTTTGCTTCACCTGCCCACCCCCACCTCCCTTTGAATTCTGTTCCAGCCCCCCACCTTCGGTTCCACCACCCTGCCCACCTCCCGCTCCATCACCCCCGCTCCCCACCTCCCCTGCAACCCGCCACCACTTCCTCTCCCTTTCTGTCCCCCAGCCACTCCCTCTGCAGTCCCCCACCCCTTCCACTGGTCTGCCCCCTCTTACCCCCTCTCCAGCCCACCACGCACCCCTTTCCCTACCCCCTTCCCCTGTTCCCAAGCTACCCCCCCTCACCCCGGCCTCTGCCAGGAAGTATCTACTCCCTCTGACGCCCCTTCCAGCCAATCCCAGCCACCCACACCGCCACCACCAGGCATGCCGCTCCTGTAACCATGCCCCAGCACCCCGCGAGTGGGGGGAAGGCAGACCCGGGAGCCCCTCGGCGATCTGGGAGGGCCCGCAGCAGAGCCACCCCCTACGCACCCACTCCTCCCACTTCAACAGTTAGGAAAAAACAACACACATCGGAGCAAGCGAAAACACCCAAGCGCTCTGACCCCCGGGGCCAGAAGCGTACCCTTGAAGAAGATGGAGTGCAGGAACGCCAAGCCCCACTGGAAGAAACACACGACGAGGAGCCAGCACGCTCAAAACCCCGCCCCAACCCCACTGCCCCATCCTCGCCCACCCTCCATCCAGATGATAGCGGGGGCGCCTGTGCACGCCCAGGGGAGAGGTCTGCTAACTCACACACTACCTCCCACTCTCAGGCCAAAACATCCATGAAAACGCCAAATCCCACCCGCGCACCCAGGCACATAAAGGTGGGAGAGGGCAGAGCAGGGGAGAACTTTGCAACAGACGCTACAGGGGAAGGGGTAAGTGAGGCTATGGGTGAAGGGGCAGTAAAGGCTGCACGGGAAGAGGCAGCAGAGGCTGCAGCGGAAGGGGCAGCAGAGGCTACCTGTCAAGGGGTAGCAAAGGCTGCACGGGACGGGGCAGCAGAGGAGGCAAAGGAAGGGGCAGCTGAGGCTGCAAAGGAAGGCGCAGCAGAGGCTGCAGAGGAATTGGCAGCAGAGGCTGCAGAGGAATGGGTAGCAGAGGCTGCACGGGATGGGGCAGCAAAGGCTGCACGGGAAGGGGCTGCCGAGGTCACTGCGGAAAACCCAGGATGGGGAGTTGCAGGAAGAGCAGCGGAGCTGGCTGCAGGGACCGCAGCAGGTGAGGCGGCACAGCTCGCATCAGGTGGGGCTGCAGAGACCGCAGTGGGTGAGGCTGTGGGGCCCGCAGCAGGCGAGACTGAAGTGACCGCAACAGGTGAGGTTACAGGGACCGCAGCAGGTGAGGCCGCAGGGACCGCAGCAGGTGAGGCTGCAGGGATCACAGCAGTTAGGGCTGCAGGGACCACAGCAGGTGAGGCTGCAGGGACCGCTGCAGGTGGGGCTGCAGGAACTACAGCAAGTGGGGCTGCAGGTGCCGCAGAGGCTGCGGAGGAAGGGGCAGCAAAGGCTGCACGGGAAGGGGCAGCAACGGCTGCTTGGGAAGGGGCAGCAGAGGCTGCACGGGAGGGGGCAGCACAAGCTGCACAAGAAGGGGCAGTAGAGGTCGCACGGGAAGGGGCAGCCGAGGTCGCAGAGGAAGGAGCAGGTGAGGCAACAGGGACAGCAGTAGGTGAGGCCGCAGGGACAGCAGCATTTAAAGCTGCAGGGACTGCAGCAGGGGGGGCTGGATGGACTGTAGTAGGTGAGGCTGCAGGGATTGCAGCAGGTGAGGCCGCAGGGCTGGTGGAAGGGGAGGCTGCAGGGGCCGCAGCAGTTGAATCTGCAGGAATTGCAGCATGTGGGGCTGCAGGGGCCGCAGAAGGTGAGGCTGCAAAGACCGCAGCAGGTGAGGCCACAGAGGCTGCACCAGGGGCGGCCGGGGCCACGGTTGGGGCAGGGACAAGGGAGAGGGCTATAGCGGCTGCAAGGGGGAAGAGTGTAACGAAGGCAGCGGCAATGGAGAGCGCGGCCCCGGTTGTAGCAGGGGGAGGCGAGAGAGTGACTGCAGCAGGAGAAGGGACAGCAAGGGCCACACGGACAAAAGGTATGGCTGCAGCCGAAGTAAGAGAGGGGGCCATGGCACAGCCAGTGGGGGCGGTGGAGGCTGCTGTAGGCGCGACAGAGGCCACAGCAGGGCGGAGAGAGACGGCATATGGAGCGCAAGGGGCCGCAAAAAGGGCGGGCAGGGAAGAGCCAGCAGGGGGTGTGGGCTCAGGGGGCGTAGGGGCACCCGAGGACGCGATGCACATCGACGGGCCACTGAACCACTACCTCACACCCGCCGATGAGGCTGATCTAGCCCCCTTGCAGCCCCATGGCAAGGTCTCTACTTCCCCCACCATTCCCAACCCCCCAATGGCAGGTGAACCGATGGAGGGACTGGAGGAGGTACGAAGGACCAAGCCCCTTGAGGGCGCGCCCACCCCTACCCCCCACTCTTCAGCCCACTCTCTCCCAGAAGCACCACACCCCCGCCCCCACCTTCCGGGACCCCCTCCAGGATCCAGCGGGGCAGCCAGGGCCCTGGCTTTCCTAGCGGAGCCATGTTCCCCGACTCCTACACAGTCCTATGACCAGCCCCCCCTCTTCCCCCAATGACAGACCCCTCGCATGAAGACGGTCCACCGGGAGGGCGCACAGGCGTAGTAAGGGCGGAGCCTCCCAAGGATGCCCCCATTCTCACCTCTCACCCCTCCTCGCTCCTCCCCTCGCCCCCAAGACCAGCACACTCCTGCCCCCACCCCCAAGGGTTCCTCCGAGCACCACGGGGAGCAGCCAGAGCCCTAGCCTTCCTGGCGGAGCCCTGCTCCCCGACCCCTAACAGTACCCAATCCTCTCCTGCCTGCCTGCTACCTCCCCCTCCACCAGGTCCTCCCCCACCCGGAGCTACACACATTTCGCAGGTCCAAACTTCAACCGGGCCACATCACCCTCCATCCCCCCAGCGCCCCACACCCTACATACACCCTAACCACCCAAGCCGCCGCACAGCCCCAACCCTTTCACCTAAAGTGCTGCCCTTTTCACACCATCCCCCCCAAGCAGCTCAGACCCATACGCAAGGGCCCTCGCCCCTAGCTTATGGGGGGGACGACATCTCGGTAGAGGGGCCCACAGGAGAGGCCACCAGTGGGAGGGGCCCTGACCCCAACCCACAGCACGGGGGCACAACTTCAAAACCGCGGTCCTATCTCCCCTCCCCACCCCCTTCCACATACAGCCACCTCAGACCTCACTCCCCCCTCCGCAGGCACCACGGCCAAACCTCCACACTGCCCTAGCCCCTTCCCCACAGCACACAAACCCCTCCTTCGGTGCGCCTCCACACGAGTGGCCACGTTGGGCAAACATCGCCCATCTCATAGGGGCAGATGGGATGCTCACTGAGCTCCCCCCACATGGCCAACCACCCGTCCTCCCCCCACCGACCCTGTCGGCTTCTCAGCCCCCCTTCCTTCACAGCCAGACATGGACAACCAACACAAGGCTGGCCGCCGACGGAAGAACAAAGGGAAAGGAGGCAAAGAGCCAGCTAATCTACTCCCCTCTCCCTCCCTCCCCTCCCAGGCGCCCCTCGTTACCCCACATCACGCTCAACCCACACCAGGCCTTACACCTACTGGCCAACCATCTAACCCACACCCGCCTCCCGTGTGTGCCTCTCCAGGGGACAAGGAGAACGAACCAGCTCATTCACTCCCGGGCCGCCTCTCACTCGGTCTTCACCCCCCCCAGGTGGCGGCGGCCGCATGCGCTACCAGGATAGAGGCCGATGGGAGGAGAGATGTGGCCATGGCAGACGCCACTGACTCCTCGTCTCATACCTCCCACCCCGTCCATGTCGATGGCTCCCTACCGCAGCCCATGGCCATCGGAGAGGGCCATGCTGGCCTCTTAGGCCAAGGACCATGCCTGAGCACCGCCTGGCCAGCTGGCCCCACCCCATCCCCCACTCGGCCAACGCTCCTACCCTCTCCAGCAGGCAGGCAGGTCGCCGGAACCCCACAGGAGGTGAGGGCTGCCATCTCAGACCTGCTGGCGATACAGGGCCCTAGCAGCTCCCCGGCTGCCCCCCCCTTATCAGTCCCACAGGCCCGGATCCGGACGTATGCGGAAGTCACTCGCTCGGTCCCTTCTTCTACCCCTCCCACTACCCAGCCTGGCTCGTCACTCCCCTCACCGATGGAGACAGACCTGGTTCTGAGGCCATGTCACTCGCACCCAGACGTGGTTGTGCCTCCCCCCACTCAGCCTGTTGCCGACACACTACCCGTGGCGCAGGAGGGCACCAGTGTCAGGTATGAGGCATCCGCCCTTGCTGATGCCCCTCCGTCTGGCGTAGCAGAGCCCCCACTCCGACCCCACCCCACCGAGGGAGAGGGGCATACCACGGCCCACACTCCAGATCCACCTCCACATCCCTCCTCCCTGGCCTCGGGGCCGGTACTGCCACGAGGCCCAGCCCCATCCAGTGTGGCACCACCTCCACCTCTGCCGACACCCCCCCTGCACGGGGCCAGTGAGCCCTCTCCCCCCTCTATCCCAGGCGATTTTCGGGGAGCTCAGGCGGCGGACGGGGTCCCCTCTACAGCCAGTTCCGACACCACGGCCCCGATCGACCCCGCCGACACGGCGACTTCACCCGACCAGGCCGTGATATGCCCCACCTGCAGGAGCCCCCTCGCGAACCGACGCGCGCTCCAGCACCACACCCCCTTCTGCCATCCTGCGGACGCAGCTCGCAGGGCACACGCCGTCCATGACGCCACCTCGATCCTCCCTTCCCTCTCACAGCCCCGTGCGACCGGGATACAGTTCACCGACGCACAGTGGCAGACGCTTGACTCGGTGGACTGGACGGAGTACTTCTCGCCCGAGCGTATTCATGCGCGCCCTCTCCGGCGTGTCCCGGAGAGGGTCCGCGGAGGATATCTCGACGTCCTCAGTTCGATCCTAGCCCGCATTGCCCAGGACCCGGAGGCTGCTGGCCCTACCTTCTTCCTTGCTGCAGCGCCGACCCTTTTCCTTGCTCCAGCGACGCCACCCCGACCCGCTCGCACACGGCTGCCATTGCAGCGCGCATCTCCCGCTTTGGTCGAGGTGAGTGGGATGAGCTACTCTCAGATGCACTAGGCCGCCGCACCCCCCTCCCTCGGCGCACGGGTCACCGGTCACGCACCGCCACCGACCCCTCCACAGCAGACGAGCGACGCATTGCACGTTGCCTTCGCCTGGCAGCATGCAATGAGACGTCACGGGCCTGCGCGGCTCTCGAGTCCGCAGAGGCAGCCCCAGATACACAGGGGACGATACAGCGCCTGCGGTCGAAGCACCCCCCCGCGGAGAGGCCGACCCCAGCTTGGCTGCCGGGTTTCCAGGGTTCTGCCCTCGTGCTCTCAGTGGATCACTTACGTCGCGCGATCTTTACAGCTCCGCGGGGCTCCTCGGGAGGACCGTCCGGTTGGGTCGCTGAGCATCTCCGAGACACTTTTCTTGCTTTTCCTCAGAGTCTCCATTTCCTCCTGGCTGTGTACCAGCAGTGGCTCCGAGGTCGTTGCGCTCCAGCTGCACGCTCCTTGCTAGCGTCCTCCACCCTCGTGGCTCTGGCGAAGTCGAACATGGATGTTCGGCCGATTGCCATTGGCGAGGTGTTGGTCCGCATTCTCTCGCGAGCAGTCTGTCTCCAGCTTCGTGACCAGATGGCGAGAGTCTTCCTGGCGTCGCAGCAGTTTGGGGTGGGGGTGACGTGCGGGACGGAGGTCGTGGTTAGGGGCGTCCGCCGTGCTCTGGCTGACCACCCAGACTGGGTGGTCCTGCAGCTGGACGTGGCGAATGCCTTTAACTCTTTCCACCGAGACAGGATGTTTCAGGCTCTGCAGGCCAGTCCGGAGTTCCAGTGCCTGATCCCCTTCATCGGCCTCTTCTACGGGACGCCCTCGGACCTCCACTACAGGTCAGGTACGGGAGTGGTTACGATGCACTCGGAGCGTGGCACTCGCCAGGGAGACCCCCTCAGCCCCTTCTTGTTCGCTCTCACACAGCGCCTTGCCTTGGAGCCTGTTCTGACGGAGGGAGATGTCCAGCTCTGGTCGTACGCTGATGACACGTACGTGCTAGGTCCCCCAGACAGGGTGCTACACCATTTTGCCGAGATCGTGAGGCGCTTGAGCGAGATGGGCCTTGCGGTCCAGTCGCACAAGTGCCTCGTCTACCAGACAGAGGCCTACCGGTCCAGGGATGCAGAGGCTTTCACGAGCCTGGGATCGAGGTCGGGGGTGCTACCCTGGCTCCCGAGGTTACGCCAGCCCCAGACAGCTGCTCGTCTTCTTTCGGCGTGTGTCAGCACTCGCCCGCAGTACTTGTCCAGGACCGTCCCTCCCTCACCCGCGGTGCTCTCCAGTTTCACACAGTGGGACGCACGCTTGGGTGAGACATTTCAGCAGCTTCTAGCGCCGGGGACCTGGGCTTGTCGCGAGGACGTGCAAGAGGCCGCCCGAGAC